TCTTGGATCCTTGGTTCTGGGTAGTCATATTATAAACGCCATCCTTGGTCCCTGGATCCTACTGATTGTTCCGCAAATACAGCATCGTGGTTCCTGGTCCTGTTATTCTTTCGCAAATAAAATGATGCGTTCCTGGTTTCCCTTTTTTACAAACACGAGAAGCTAGTATTTGGCTCCCATTGGCTTTTCATAGACACCAGATCCTGGTTTCCCTGTCCGCCAGCAGCTTTTTTTTTCAGACACGAGGCCCTGGCTCATTTTTTTCCACTGGTGTGTTGGTTCCCGTTGGTAAAGTGTTCTTTTCAATCTTTTATCACTGCCGGCTTTAATCGTTTTCGACTTCTATCCTTGCCAATCCTTTGCCGCCCGACTTTCTCTACCTGACTTTCTCCATTTAACTTTTTGTCGATGCACCGTGCTGTACCGTATAAGCAAGGGTTTGAGCTCTGTGGGTCGGTGCGGTGGAATTCGTAGCAGGTACTTTGGTGCCGAGGTAATTCTCTCTGTTCGTTGCTAGGAAAATGTTTGAGCCTTAAATGCGTTTGGCCTGATTTGTCATATGAGCGCTGTTCTCCTTGTCCTGGCCCGCCGCCGCCTCTGGGAGCCGGCCTGGTGGTGTGAACGTGTGCGGACGTGATCTTACACGCAAAAGCTGAAACGCATTCGCGTATCATTTCTGAATTTATCGTGACCGCAGGCGGACGATGACACCAAGGGAAGGTAGCCCGGGCTGAGGAGTGGTCCACATGGGTGACATTGGGGATAGACGTGAATTCCCCCCAAAACGATTGTCCCGGTGCAGTCCGCCGCCGCCGCTGCTGTGACCACCCATATGCCGCTCGTCTGCCGCTGCAGTTGCTGCGGCTGCTTGCCTGCGGCTGCGGCTGCTCGTCTACCACTGCGACCGCTCGTCTGCCGCACGTCCGCGGCTGCGACCGCTCGTCTGCCGCTGTGGCTGCTCGTCTGCCGCCCGTCTGCCGCTGCGACTGCTCGTCTGCCGCTTGACTGCCGCTGCGGCCGCTTGTCTGCCGCTTGACTGCCGCTGCGGCCGCTCATGTCACTCGTTTGCCACTGCAGCTGCACGTCTGCCGCTCGTCTGCCGCTGTGGCTGCTCGTCTGCCGCCCATCTGCCGCTGCGACTGCTCGTCTGCCACTTGACTGCCGCTGCGGCCGCTCGTCTGCCGCTTGACTGCCGCTGCAGCTGCTAATGTCACTCGTCTGCCACTTCGGCTGCACGTCTGCCGCTCGTCTGCCGCTGCGGCCTCTCGTCCGCCGCTGCGGCTGCTCGTCTGCCGCTTGACTGCCGTTGCAGCCGCTCGTCTGTCGCCCGTCTGATTCTACCGTTGTCGTCTGCTCGTCTGTCCTTGGTCTGCTTCTGTGACCACCATCTTGCGGCTGCATAACCGCGGTAAAATCTGATTATGAGAACGAACTGGCTCTGTCTAAGTCGCCTATCTTCTGTTTGCACTCACCCAAGTATGCTCATGGCTAATCCCAACACACCGGAAGTTTGCGTTGACCTCAGCGTTTTGCGAAACACACAGGTTTGCATCCGTCGCTCTGACCTTTTTGATGGTCGACGCCCTGTTAATACGCTCACAGGTGGCGGGTTGAGTGTAATGCGCTCTGATGGGGGTCGGGGCCCAATTTGACCTACCCCTTAGAAGCAAGAAACTAAGAAAGCCAGACTTATGAAATTCACGGGTTAGGTAGGGTTCTATCAGGGCTCACTTGAGTCAAATTTTAAGGTTACTAAGTCATGATCTCCAGATCGAATAATGTCAAGTAATGTCAAACTCCAGGTTAGTGTCCGCAGTGCTCTCAGATGTCCTCATGCAACCAGTTTTAACCTACATACCTCTTATATACATAATCCTATCGGTGTTCAAGTCAGGCGAGTGATATTATTTAATCTCAAGAAGATAAACTGACCCAAAAATTCGGGATTTTATAAATGTTTTAATAAACAGCGGCGTCAGGTCGTACCATTGATGGCATGCACCTCAAAGCAAAAGGTTGTTCAATATCATTTTAGCGCAGTGACCTGCCCTGACCTTGATTGAGTCAAAATATTTTCACATCGTAGTGATCCAGGAATTCAAAATGATCGCCAAAAGCCACCACTACATCAGACAAGTTGCCAGTAATAAAGCTGTTTGATTTTGGCCTTATATGGCCTTCATACCTGACCCAAGGTCACTGGAATTGGTCGCAATCCTGATTTCAATGGCCTTACCGTCTACAAAGCTATCTCAAAGTTGCATGATTCCGCCTAACACTTATTTGTTGCATCATATTGTTTCTAGGAAATGTTTCGCGGGCAGCCATGGTCTGACTTTGACCTTTCATATGTCAGCGACCTTTCAATGTACATCTAATCTGTCGTGCCAGACTATCTGCTATTCAGTTGCCTGCAGCTATACAACATTTGGCGCCGCTGCGTCATGCCGTTCAAAACTTAGTTTGGAACAAACTCGGCGGTCCACGTAACTCCCACGTGAGCCCGTTTCCTGCGTGTAAAGAGCGGTCCTGTCGGCTTCATAGACGGGGAAATGACAAGACATTATACCTTTGTCTTTGTGCCTGGTCGTAATTAACAGAGATGCTTTGGATTATCTGCGAGACGAGCGGAACCGTAGTTTTGCGAGCGTGGTGTCCGCTTTTACGACTTCTTTATCCAGTCGCAGTTCCGTTGATCTCCATGTGGTCCTGAGAGCATCGAAGTCTGACTCACCTGGGTCAAAGAAGCGGCGTAGGCCACGAAACGGTCAGCACAATAATTTAATGTTAATGAAACACCGAGTTCCGTAGTCTGCAGTTTACAGGTACCTGTTGTTTAGCGATTGTTCTCTGTTCCTGCCCATAGTTAGGTTGGCCATCGCCTTCAATTCGCAGAGGTCCTCTGCCCCACCTCCACTGAGTGGGAGGTGAATGGGGGACGTCACGGCAATATACGCCACGCGCACATTAGTCTCCTCCTCGCATTTCGTTTCTTTATTTGAACTGTACGCAAATCGCCCAGCACGTACCCCCCGTTATATCCCAAATTCCAAAAATAAGCATTGCGCATGGGGAGTATGATGTATAGTTCGGACCTCCAAACGTATCTGGAGTTTCCTAGTACAAAAGAAATAACTAGTCATGCAGTACTCAGGCGCGAGGAAAAAATATGTGAATCGAAAAATACGCACAACCTGTCCCAGAGACTCAACGCAATGAATGCAGGAAAAACCGGATGCGTTATGTAATGATCTTTAGGGGTGTGGGGGCAAGGGAAACATCCTTGTACCGAAGGGGGTGCAGAATGGGGTTCTCCAATGGTTTGTTTGCAGAACGAGATGATTAACACGCGCCGGGGTGGCCGGCTAGATACCCTTCGCCCGGGTGGGGGGTCAATTTGACTCCTTTGAGATCCCGATAAATAAGAAAGCTAGAGACACCAAACTTACAGGGTGTCTTGACCTGTATGTGAAATCACTCAGGTCACAGTTTGAACTTCTTAGGTCATGGCTTTCAGGTCAAATAATGTCAAACAAGGTCAAAGTCCAGGTCGGTCTCCAAAGTGCCCCCAGAACCTAGGCAACCGTTTCGAAGTAAAAGGTCAAAAACCCATTTGAGGTCAGTGACCAAGTTTGACCTTTTGAAGGTCATGGTGACCAAAATCATAAAAGACTGCTCTGAGTTTTGCTTTTGGACAAACGACAAATATGACGCTAGGCAGTGTCTTCCGAAAACAAAACGTCAACCCGGGTCATCTTAGGTCAATGGCCTTTTCCGACCTCTAAGAAGTCAATGTAAGATGTATAGTGCGGTTCTTGCTGTCAATAAATGCGAAATTGAGCACGACAAACTATCCTGTACAGCAAGCCCTAGAGCAACAAATCAGGTTGGTTGTGACCTTTGCCTGACCTTCATACCTGACCTTAGGTCAACATAACTTGCTCATTCAATATTTGTGATGCCTAAGAAAGCATCTCAGAGATGAATGGCTTCGTCAAGCACTCCGTTATTGTATCAGATTGGACGATTCCCTAGAAATTGCCTTCGCTGAAACCATGAACTGACTTTTACCTGCTATAGGTCAGCGACCTTGCAAGATATATCTAAATTTTTGATGTCAAACGATCCGCTATTCAATTGTCTACAACTATGCGAGATTTGGCGTGGCTACGCCGCGCCGTTCGGAAACCATTTTGGAAAAAAACCTTTGGGGGGTCAATTTGACCCCCACCCGAGCGCTTGTTAACATAACTAGATAGTGTCATTGCAGCAACAGCGACAACAATACATCATAAAACCATAGAAATCCAAGCCATAGTATGTTTCGTTGAACACACGTGAAAACGACATAATATATGCGTATCTGTTTCTAAATAGTGTGCCAAGCTTTCCTGTCATTTAGGGCACAAACACTGTCATTGGCATCTTGCAAATATTAAGTAGAACACACGCTGAAAAAGCAGACGCAAGGCATTATTTTCACAGTGGATGGCAGGGAGTCCAGTTGTATTTCTCTCGTCCGAGTGAGTAATTCAAACCGAAATTCTGAGCTAGTCAAAAGCATTTCGAAAAACTGGCATTACTGATCACCTCGTTCGCGTCTAATGTAACAATAAGTGAAAAATAGGAGAGGCGCGATGCTCCTTATAAAAACCCATAAATCCTGGCCAGAGGTCCCACACGAGCTGAGCTTCCGGGTTCAGGACTGGTATTTGTACCACCAGGGCCGATACCGGTTCCCGTACCGGTGCCAGGTTTCAACGGAGCGTTGCATTGCTGGCAACAGCACATCTCCGCGCGGACAGCTGTGGACGAGGCGGCATCCCATTGTGCCTTCAATGCGGATTCGTTAGGTAGGCCATCATGTCGCTGACGCACTGTCACTAAGCCACGCGCTGATCATGATCGACGCGTCAATACGTCCGGTGCCGCCTGCACCGCTGTCACGGCCAGTCCGGCGGGGGCTAGCCTGCCGCAGCGCCGCCGCTCGAGCCACTCACCTTCTGGCATCCCTTGTTTGGCAGGTTGACCTGCTGCACGCAGTTGTTCATCCAGGGCTCGCAGAACATGCCGTCATCATCGGCGGCCGTCCCGTCCGCCCCCATGGTGCCGCCGGCCGCCGGCGAGTGCGCCGGCCCGCCGCCGCCGGCCTGCCGCCGTGGCCGCCGAGCCGGTCGGTCGTCGTCTCCGGGCGACCGGCAAACAATCACACGGCGGCCCGGCGCCCGCCGGCTGCCGTGCCGGCCCGGCGGCGGCACGCACGCCGGCCCGGCCGCGGCGCCGGCTGCGTCGACCGGGGCCTCGGGAAGCGCTACGGTCGGGGACTGTGTCGTCTGTGCCGCCGATGTCGGCAGGACACTGGAAACGGAGCGGCCGGACTGAGGCTGAGACCGGCGCACTGCCGGCTGATCACGCCGCAGAGGAGGCGCAGGTACCGGAACAGGATGCGTTGTGGCGTTGGCACAGGCCAGGCTGTAACACCGTAACAAACAGTGTCATTGCACCCTTCTACACCGTAACGTGAGATCGGCACAGAGCATGATGCAAGCTGTTCGACATTAATCACCGCACCCTGAAGACAGCACAAAACAGACCTCTGCACCACCATCAGCCACGGCATGTCATTAGCACAGATCAAACCCCGCCACTCTCCTGGTGGCATGCCGCCAGTTTGTAAGACACCACGTATACCTCTCATGCACCAGCACACTGCAATCCAGTGCAGCCGGCAGCCCTCCAAGGGACCAGCCCCACTTGCCAAAGGCGCCGGAAGGGCCATCGATTCGGGCTGGGTCACGTGTACCGGGCACACCGCCGCACAGCGCATGGGGTCGGGGCCAACCGGTTTGCGGCCATAACCCTCAAGCACCACAGCCAGAGAACACCAGGGCTGCCTTCCCCATTGGCAAAGTACCTGCCTGAGATGCTACCTATTACGTCGCAAGTACCTGCGTCATACATAAGCGACTATCCTCCAAGCTGGAGCAGCTGTTGTGACACACTTATCTTCGACCTCATAGGCTGTAACTTATAGACAGCTGTTGGTGATGGGGAAAGCGGCCCAGGAGGTCACCCAAATATCGCGAAGCCGGCGACGGGCTGCAACAAAACATGACCTGGAAAATATAACTGGCGGTCCCCGTTTGGCGCTACCCGATCTTGACTCCGTTAGTGTCGCGCTGACACCGCTGCAGAAACGGATCAACGGACTCTACAGCGCAACCGTTGAACTGTGAGGACGGGCATTCATGTTCCATGCTACCCATGTTGTCGGTACAAGCGCATCAGATCAAATAAAAAAACAAGCAATGTCATAATGATAGAGAATGTTATGAGCAGGCCATACCGTTGATACAAATGTATTTGCCTGCAACGAAGCACCTCCCACCAAGACACGTTTAGCGAAAGGATCGCACACACAAACACGCGCGCAGCCACTTCCAATGCCCGACCGCCACCACAGAAGTGTCGACTACCGCCTTAGCCAAAAGCGTGAGCCATCTCGTGCCATTTGAGGCTGCTTAACGTGGTAAAGGGTGCCCAAAAAGATACCAAATATTGAAAGTCGATAGATGTGATAATTTGTGACGTCACTCACCCTGTGAGCACACGGTGCTGTGTTTATGGGGTATTTTTACCGAAACAAAATGTTACAGTCAGTGCACGCACGCCTCGAAATGCAGTGCGCAATCCAACCGCCCCCCCCCCCCCCTCGCCCAGCGCTCTGCAGAGCACAGCCCCTGTCTCATGGCTCGAACTCACGGGTCACGCTGAATATTTGTGCGCGCCCCTTCCATTTTTAATTTCAGGTCTTTACGACCCGTGAACGACACCTCTTGAGCTTTTTCACGAAAGTGTAGGGAACCCAGGGGAAATAAAGGGATACTAAATCCGGGGAGGCGCAGGACAGGAAATCGCCACCTTCTCGGAGAGAATCCTGAAGCGGTCCTGAAGCCGTCTCAGAGCCACACGAGACGTGCGAGAAGGTGTACCCACCCCACTGCAGCCACTGGAGGTGGACTGTCTCGACGTACTTCCGCTTCAGCTGCTCCCAAAACCGAATGAGCACTACCACATATTGCTCTGCAATGATGGCTGTGGTCGGGGGTCCAAAGTCAATCAGTCTGGCGTTAATCCGATTCTGATATACTTATAGCATGTGTCGATACCTGCTAGTCAAAACTTTGGAGTTCCCAGTGTTCTATTGCCCTGGGTTATGGTGTTTTCCTGACGGTTGTGGAACTGCAAAATAAGACTGCAAAAGCAGCAGCCTTCTCTCTCAACCAGCGGTGCAGGTTCAGCCTTTCTTGACCAGATAAATTTGGCGTCTGGTGATTTTTGTATTTCTTTTTAGGAAATCAGATGGAGCTTCTTTACAATCATTTGGGCTGCCGAATTAGGGTTGCCCAGGCAATGGTCGAGGCAACCAGGGTTTTATTAAGTCTCATTGATGCTGCCACGTGAGACCGTTTCGAACCCTTTCCGGCCCTGAGACGGCGGTGGACCAACCAGATGGCCCCTTACGTCGGTTTACCACATAACTGCGAGCCACAAACCTTCCCGTGAGCTCGAATATCGCTTTCCTACTCGGACAAACCCGGGTTCAAGCATTCTTGAATTTTTTGTGGGTTAAAATTATAGCTGTTGTCTGAAAATGAATTCGGACAGCTCTCCTTTTCGGCTCCGTGTTCATCTACAGCATGATGACGACAAGAAACTATTGGAACATGTTGGCAACTCTGTACGGCTCCCTTTGGTTACGATGTCGCTGCCATGATAAACGTCCAGTTGAGGACAGGGTACCTGGGTGCCTAAGAAAGTTTTGATTCAAATGCGAACATACAGTGGGCATTACGGTGCGTAGTATTTGGAGGTTTTCAGGCTGCTTCTGCACTTCCGAAGGGCGGAGGCGGGTTTAGTTTTTAGTCGGGGAGAGGCGGATATAAGAAACTCCAAGTTTCAATTTGGAGTGGATAACTGAAAATATTACTAATTTTAGCGCCTGATAAGCGGTGCAGTGGTGGAGATATCTGGTTTATACCAAGCTGATGATACTATACTTAAACATTCCTTGACGCTCCGAAGGATCGGCAATTTGTTCCGCGATCTGGCAGAGACTGACGAAAGATCTCTGGCATGATGTAGTTACATTTGAATGAAATGAAGATGAGCTCCTTACAATAATTGCGAACGTGTTATTCGTTAAGTAAGTTATATTTTGAATGACTTTTTGTTTACGGACCTTGCTCACACAATCAAAGTATGAAGGGGTCAGGTTTTGAATTTAAATTTTTCGATTCTGTGACCAAGGTCTGTCACCGGAACTTTATTTCTTAAAGGTAGCTTACTTAGCGAATTTCAGGTATATAATTACTGTAAGGTCATTCTAGTTCACTTAGATACTTGTCATGCCTTACATTTCACCAACACGGCATCATGTTAGAGTAATAACATTTTCTAGGAGTGATTAGCTCAGTGAGTTTCGTCACCTTCGTTGAGCGTCTTGTCGCGGTTTTGAGACTGTCTACTATGCTGCCAGGCGTTGTGTAGTCAGTATGTACTATGCCGGCAGATGTTGTGTAGTCAGTGTCTACTATGCCGGCAGGAGTTGTGTAGTCAGTGTCTACTATGCCGGCAGGAGTTGTGTAGTCAGTATCTACAATGCCGGCAGGAGTTGTGTAGTCAGTATCTACTACGTCGGCAGGAGTTGCGTAGTCAATATCTACTATGTCGGCAGGAGTTATGAGTCAGTGTCTACTACACCGCCAGGGGTTGTGTAGTCAGTGGCCCTCCGTTGCACCGCCTTGCATAGCCAGGTAATTACTCGAGCGGGTAACCAAAATCAAAGGGAAAAATTCCACTGCCCCAATTTCCACTGGCAGCAAAGGTAAGCGCACATCCAGCCTGCTGACAAATAAGTGAGCGACCAAAACAAAAGGGGAAATGTCAATGCTCAAATCTCCACTGGCAACAGAGGTCAGCGCACATTGAGTTTGGTGACAATTAATGCTCATGCTTCCTGTGTCTCATCAGTATGCATCTTTACGCTGTACACATGGTACGCGTGTCGGTACGGAGCACACACATAACTGACATGCGTGCTGTAGGTTCTCGGTTATCACTGGTTTAAGGCATGAATATTTATTGAACGTGGGCCGAGTCATATAAAGATCAGACTTGACCTGACTTGAAAGATCTGACACGCGCTCGGGTGGCCGGCCGGACACGCTCCGCTCGGTTGGGGGTCAATTTGACCCCGCTAAGATCTCAGGGATTGAGAGAGCTAGAGACACCAAATTCACAGAGTGTATCGGCCTGTACGTTAACTCATTAAGGTCAAATTTTGAGGATCCTAGTTCATGACATTTGGGTCAAATAAGATCAACAAAGGTTGAGTTTCAAGTTGGTCTACAGTATCTCCAGAACCTAGGCACTGTTCTAAACAAACTTTGAGCTGTTCTAAACAAAAGTTCACGTGCTCATTTAAGGTCAACCTTGTTTGACCTTTCGAAGGTCATGGCGACCAAAATAATAGAAGATTGCTTTGAGTTTTGCATGTAAATAAGCGGCAGAGATTAGCTAGGTATGCTATTAAAAGAATACTATTATAGCTATTAAGCTAGGTATACTATTAAAAGCGAAATGTTGACCTGGCTCATTTTAGGTCAGCCACCTATTCGGACATTAAAGAGGTTCATGGAAGATGTCTAATGCGGTTCTTATTGTCAATAAATTCGAAGTGAGCACTAACAACCTCATACAGCAAGTCCCAAGGTAAAAAACAGGTTGGTTTTGACCTCGGCTTGACCTTCATACCTGACCCTAGGTGAATGGAATTTGGCCATTCAATTGTTGTGCTGCCAAACAAAGTACAACTTTGCTTTACACTCCGCTGTTCCATCAGATTGAACGCTTCCCTAGAAGCTGACTTCGCTGAATCCATGGTCTGACTGACCTGCCATAGGTCCGCGACCTTACAAGGAACATTAATGTTTTGATATCACACGACCCGCTATTCAGTTGTCTACAGCTAAGCAAAATGTGGTGCGGCTGCGCCGCGCCGTTCGAAAACC